TGTTACTTTAAAGAAATAAATGTTCCTAGCAGGAGCTGCAGGATTACCCTCAACCCCAGCACACTCAAAGAGACATTAGACACGTAAATAAAACATGAAAGAAATTTGAAAGTAAAGAAAATATAGTTACTGGGAATGGGGACCATGAAACGCTTTTGATAAGTCAAGGTAAAATGCAAGAACTTGATGCTAAAAAAAGCTGAGATATTTACTTATTAACAGTTGGCTCCTTGTTTTCTCCATTTGTTGCTTGCAAATCCTTGCACATGCCAACTTCAACATCATTAGAATTATTGTCATAACTTGCACCATTGCCTTCAACTTTTGACCCTTCCAACCCAATTTCTTTCCTTTGCTTCTTTGCCTTCCGACAATTTTCTGAGCTCATTTCAGTAGGAGGCGCTGAACAATCACCATCAACTACCCTGCTTGAATACGTAATACAGTAAGAACATTATCAAGTTCAACTATAAGAATCGTCACTATAAAAAATAGATATGTGCGCACCTATGCAACATATGAGTGAAAAATGCGTGCATGCACTGATAGCACGAACAGAACAAAGAAAAATGTTTCTTACACATTAGATGGGCCCTGGTAAGTTTTATTTCTCTGTCGAAGATCTGGATCCATCTTATCAGACTTTGCAACAGCTTCCTGCTCTTTATTCTCTCTGAGGACACCGTTACAGTAGCCATTTTTTACTGCAAGTGCCTTTTCTTCCTTAAATCGTTCTTTCCTTTTCCTTTTTGACTTTACACTGATCTCAGGACAAATTAAGGCAATAAATGCACAAATGGCAGGGCAGATGGATGTAAAAACAGTAACAAAATGCATGATTTAAAATAGTCCATCAATAGATGATACTCACAGGGCGAGAGATTGAATCTGATTTTTCCCATTATCCATAATGGGATCGTGGCTTATGCCGTATAGTCTTTCATTGTCAACAGTATTGTCTTTAAGACTTTCCACTTCTTTGGGAAGTTCATTCCTTTTGTCCTCGGCTTCTTTCCTAGGTTCCAATTCATTGGAAGGAAGCACTGTGTTATGAGGTAGCTTTGCCTCTCTGAAAATATGCAACAAAGATCATCTTTATGGATAAATTTGAGAAAATGTGTCGACACATCGCAAAAGAAAAATATTCAACTTCATCGTATTAAGTTCTAAAAGACAGCAACTAGATAAGTTCACTCCCAAAACGAAACACATATTTACAGGTATGGTCGTATAGAGGAAGTTAACTGTAAATTAAATAGGAACAAAAACCACGTTAAAAACAGGAAAGTAATTGAAATGGTTATGATTGTGTAGAAAGCAACTGCATTGGCTATGATCACATGCAATTTTACCTTTCTAGTTCACCGACTACATCTAGATCATCAGCCTTTCCATTTGATTCACTGCCAGAAATGCCACCTTCCTCCAACTTATAACTGGTTTCAACTGTTCCCTTACCAGTCTTCCCTTCAACTTCTGATTTAGTCATCTGTGCAGCTCTTCTATTTCTAAATACAGATAAAAGGTAGCTATCTTCACCTTCACTTTCATGTGGATGACCATCATCGTCTGACTCACTAACTTGGTATTTCTTCTTATGTCGTTTAAAATTTCTTTCATTACCCTTGGGCTTTTCATGTTCCGGTATTGTCTCCTCAATTTCTTGAATCAAAACACAAGTTCCAAACAGAAACTGAATCCTCAGAATACATTTATATGATTATTGCAGAAGATAAACAATGGTTAGAGATAAACAATAAATATGAAATGGATTAATCAAGTGTCAAATTGTGCTACAAGACTATTATTTGTTGAATAACAACCATGAAGTTTCAGGATGATTCGGGATGATTACAACTGTCTGAATTTCATAAATTTATAAACTGTGCCCTGACATGCAATGACCACATTTATCCTGGCCTGATATGATAGCATTTACAGTATACGCCATAGGCATCTATTGAGAAGCACAAAGTTATTTTAGGTGAGCATAAAGAAAAAGTTTCAAATATTTGAAAGATACCATCACTAACTGAAATGTGAGGAGATAAAACTCATAATTTACCATCGTCAATGAAACTGTCCTCGTATTTATCATCTTCACTGCAGTAATTGGATCCCTCTGTCCCAGAATGCTCAATATCCACCCCAAAGGATTCTCTATTGTGTCAATAAAGGAAAGTTAAAATCCCCAATATATATGAACTAAAAAACATGTTAAAGACAATGACTGAGGATTTTTCATTCTACCCCTGCCAATGTAATTAAGATAAAAATATTGAACATTTTGGTTTGGCCTTAACAGGGCACATATGAGATGTTTGAAGGTATGCAATGATTCACATCCCTGAAATACTGATTGACAGAACATTACACCTAAACAAAATGAATACTACATTGAAAATGAAGAGATTGAGAGAGAAAAAAGGATACGTATCGCTGTGCGGATTGCAATGCCGACTGTGATTGACATAATAACCAGTGAGGTAAACCCTTCGCGGACCAATCACTGAAAAAACCACATCATCAGCCTCCTCGAATTCCAAATCCAAATGGCATGACTCTGTTTTGTTGGGCAGTAATGCACAGAGCAAAACTGGGCTCTTATTGCCCACATTACATTGAACCAGACTTTTCTTTGTCGCATCACCAATTCCCAGTGTTGCCTAAACAATCAATCAACATACAACACAACCTTAATTCATAAATTCAAAATTTAACCAAAAATGAAACGCAAATTAAAAAAAATCAAGCCAAAATTTAGCAATTAATAATTCCAAATTTCAAGCAACCAATCATATCATATTAGCATTAAAATCTTAATACATAACTTCAACTTTCAATTACAGAAAATTCTTCCAATTAAACGTGAAATGTATCAGCTACGACAAAAATTTAACCAGAAACGTCGAACAATAAATAAAGAATGATAAGCGATAAATTTGCCCTGTTCAGTAACGAAGCTAAATTAGAGTTCAAAACTAAAAAGGGTTTTTATGCTCCTATTTACCTGAGAAATCCGGAGCCTTCCTCTAGCTGTTCCAGAAGAATGAGTAACCGGCTTCCCGGGTTTTACTTCCGTTCCTGATATATAACCAAAAAAATAAATAAAAATCGCTACGGAATTAAAAAAAAAAAAAGAAACACACACGTTGACAAGAAAAACCTCCTTCGATCAACAGATAACAAAAAAAAATATAATTTCAAAAAATCAAAATCATATAATTTAGAAGTTGAAACGCGTATTAAGTGTGGGATAAGTGAGAGAACTGACCCCAGAAAGCCATTTCTTGAAGTTGAAAAGATTTTGATTGCCGGTTGCTCTATATGTATAAATGATTCTGTCCTTTCGGCTACCGCTATACGTAAACCCTAGCGGGATTGAGAAATTCTATGATTTGAAGCGGGAATTGATTTCTTCGTTTGATTTTATTTGGGGATTTTAGTACGTATTTCTGTATATTTGATTTTAAATAATCGTGAATTTGTAGTATTTTTTTTAAAATAATAGCAGTTCTTGCCCTCCACCTATTGCATGAGTGAAAAACTGATTCCCAACATTTAAAAAGGAAGAAAGTTCATCGTTATCCTTTTGTTTACCCCTTGCTTGATAGCCATTATTTAGAAAAAAAATGTTTTAAATAGTGATTTTTAAAAAAATAATTGTGGTTAAAAATCTAGAAAATTTTTTACAATTAAATGTAAACTTTATTGTGTAAATATGTGATTGAAAATGAATATAAAAATTAAAGGAAGACAAACATGGACTTAGGGGGTGCCAAGTGGCGCCTCTATAGTTGGGGGGCCTGTCGGCCATGTACAACGATTATAACCCGCCCTTTCACATTCCCATCCGTGCATCTCAATCCCACAATTCAATCATAACGCATAATTTATGGTTTGACTTTAGATCTTAACTATTCATTTGTCTTTTTTATATGGACAAGGTTTCTGGAGTTTTAGGATGTGACAATTTCATATGTACATAAATGAATGACAATGAAAGTTGACAATCTCTCACATGCGTACGGGCTCCATGTGATTAAAAAATTCAAAAAAAAATAAATTGGGCCCCATCTATTGTAAGCGTTCGATCATCCTCCATTGTCATCCATTTCGGTACACGTAACATAGTTGTTTAGGATGTCTTCGTTTTTATTTCTTCATTGGGTCTAATTTTCTTATCCACTTTCTTTATGTAAAAGGGGCCTACTTAAGCAAGATTTATAAATGGTTTCTGGCTTTTACATTACCGTTACGTTAAAGCCTGATTTTCAATGTGCAGAGATAACGGCTTAAGTTTTCGGTGGGAAGTCAATCTGAGAAGAAACCTGAAGGGAAGCAGGAGAAGAAAAAGAAAAATAAAAGCCAGAGGGATGATAACTCGAACATTGGCATGCTTGAGATGAATGCAAATGAAGAGAATACATTCATGAAACGAGAGGATTAGAATGCAAATGCTGAATCATCTCAGCAGAGGACTTTGATAATTGAGGAGGTGGCAAAGGGAGAACCAACTCAAAGATTATGATGTTTGAACTGTTATTGGTTTGTGTACGCATCAAGTTCGAATTTGATATATTGATGAACAAATTACTGATAACCATTGGCTAAATAAAACTCTCTTCAGGTTACAGTTTATTATAATGCCATGTTAAAGGAGAGTGGGCACATTTTTTACTCAAATTTTGGCAAAACTCCGTGTAAATTTCGACTAGCAAATTATCCGAAAGCGAACTAAACATATACTATCTTAGAAAGTTGACTTACAAAAAATAACTTAAGCTCTAAACTAAGTAATTTTTTAAGCCCACCGCATGAGCCCTTTATTGCGACCAGCAAGTTATCGGAAAGCGAACTAAATTTATACTATCTTAACATGTTAGAAAATATTATAGGCATACAACAAATATCATCCTGAAATAGTTTATGGACCAGAAGAGTAGAGTGCTTCAAAACACGAGCAAGAGAAAACAAAGGACTTCCCATTGCAAATATAATTAGAGAATTCCCTTCTCTCTACAGCATTGAATTGCTTCATCAAACATTTCCTCAAGGCCATATTTGTATCTGAAACCAGTATCCAACAGTTTCTTTGATGAAAGGCTAGTGAATTTACGTCCTCTTTCTATTAAACCCCTGCAAGAAAATATAGTGATTGCTTTAATTTGAGATTTTTGAAGATAAAATTTTAAATAAATAAATGAACATGTCTTATATCTAGATGATTGATTAACTTTGTCTCACCTGTAAAAATTTAAGATTTTAGACAAGATACTTCAACATTTCGTACATGAATAAGTAGAGAGTCATGGTAAAAGGTGTTACGACTCACTCTTCGTTTCGTATTTGGAATTCCGGGTACCTCGTGGACAGAAATTCAGCTAACTTGTCCACTGCAACCTCGACGGCAGAGCAAATGTACCTCCCTTTGGCATTAGGATACTCGAAAAGGAAGATGTGTGCATTGGCCACATCGTCTGTATGCACAAAAGCGGTAGTTTCAGTATACTTCATCTCATCCTTATTTCCTGCACAAATTAAAAGAGTTATAGGAGATTGTTCAAGCATGAAATTGAACATTTGAGTAGAAGTCTAGACGAGACTTGGAACGTATTGTTTTATTAGTATACAGGAAACAAAAAATTATCATGTGTGAGTCGAAGAACCAACACGTGTGTAACATGAAAATGTGAGTGCTATTATTCCAATAATTACATATCTGACTTGGATGAATATGCAAGCATATATTTCTTGCTTGCTGGAGTAATAGTAATGATATTTTCGAGTATAATGCTAATAATAACTAGCAGGATCAAGTCTAACTACATCGACTTATGCAAATAATTAAATGTATTACCTTCACTAGCAGTCCAAGCTTTTAGACGAGATAGTTCAAAGTAGGAGTAAACATACCGATGATCATAGACAGTGACGAACTCACTGAGCCAGGCAAACGGGAACATATGAAAGGGCCGTGTATCCAAGTGGGAATTACAGTGACAAGATCCAACGAATGCTTTTCAGCGAATTCGAGAGCTGCCCTTTCTGTTAATGTCTTGGCAATGGCATAAGAAGCTCCAAAATGACTAATAAGAGGTCTCAAATAATCTACATCAGTCCACAAGTTCTCGTCCACTACATCTAAATCCTTGTTGTGAGTCATAACCGTGGATGCACTTGAGGTGTAAACAACTCGTTTCACTGTCTTAGAATCAAGGCATGCTTGCAGAATGCCTAAAGTCCCACTGATAGATTTGTTGATCTTCATTTCTGCTGTTTCTTTGTCCGTGAGATCGATTGGGTGAGCAACATGAAATACTCCAATGCATCCTTTAATTGCTGAGTTGAAACTATCTGGTTTGTCGAGATCTGCTTGGAAAATTCGCAGACTTTTTGCTGCACCAGGAAGGCTCGTGAGGTAGCTAGTGTTTTTCTTGCTGTCTGCAGGCAATACAGTAAAACGCTACAATTTTTAGTATTCGGTGCTTAGAAATGTACAACTACCAGCAGCAGATTTGAAAGTTCATCTTTGTTTAAAATCTTAAGAAAACTTGATCAATATTTTTTGATCCCACTATTCACAAATTGCAACGCTAGTCTAGCGATCTAGCATGTTTGAAACTTATTTCAATAAATAGGTATATGTATTTGTGAACTATCCACTCATTGAGTTATAAGCTCATATATTTTGTCACATTTTTCCTTATCAGATAATAGTTGAGTTGAGCAGTATTTGATACTGTCGATCCATCGAGTTGAGCCATGCATTGTCATTAGCTGCATGACTCATTTTGTTAGTCTATTTAGCTCATATTTATTTTGGGATACACGTATGTTGTATCAAAGAAGTTGATTTGTATATCCATATCATGGGCTCACTGCATATTGGGTATTTTGAGTACATTTGGGAACTTTGATGGTAAATAATAGTAAAAGTTGATTTACCAGTATTGTATTTGGAATAGTTTGAGTTTTAAGGGATTGGTGTACCATGTCTTAAGTTATATGTACGTATTTGAGGTAATTGATTATATTTTAGGTGATTTTAGTTCATATTATAGGGGGAACTTTGTCAAAAATTTTATAAAGATAAGTCACAGTCAAAGTAGGTCAATGTTATCTTGGTGATGGGTCCGACATTCAGACGGTATCTACCATCGGCGCACGACGCGTGTCGGGTCCATTAGGGTGATTCGGGATGTGTCGTGTCATTTGTTGCTAATGGTTGCTAAAGTAGCCGATACTAGATAAGGTATTTAGCGGAGTCTGGACGATATTGAAACTCGAAAAAAAATTATTCATACCAAAATAATTCCCAGGTTGCTGCTCAAACATGGAAACAATGATTTGGGACTCGAGCAGTAGAGCCGCACCTCTCAATAAGATGAAACTCTTCGACACTTAACAACTCAGTGATTAAACCAAAACTAGAGCTTAATCTTTTAGACGGGACGAAATGATCCATCTGGAATTATAATATTATAGACAAACTAGACTGTGTTGATACTAACCTTGAGGATTAGACCTGATAGTGGTATTGACAGAATAACCATGTTGAAGAAGGCTCTTGATGAGCCATGAAGCCACAAATCCTGTTCCACCTGTTACACACACTGTTCCTTTGCTTTCCCCTTCCTTCTCTCTCTCCATTTGTTATGCTGCAAGTGTAAATAGAGTACTCTCTGCTCTGTGATATGAAACTTTTTGCAGTGTATAGATAAAGGAATTATGCTGTTTTGCCGTAGAAATTTAACAACTTGGTTAACACGTGAAATTGTGGTAAAAAATGATTGAATGACAATGTTAATTATTTTTAGGGATAATTGCAGTGAGACCCCAAACCTTTGAAACACTAGCAAACTTTCCCCAAGTTTTTGATTTGTTGCAGTTGTTACCCCTAACCTTTCCAAACGTTGGAGGTGAAGTCCTTCATTTTGAACGATTTCTATCCATAATTCCGTTAGTTGACCAAAAAGTTAATTTTTTACATTTTTAATATTTTAAAAAGGGCAAAATAGTAATTTTATATTTATCACATTAAATAAAACAATTAAACTAATTAAATAAATAATAATAATAATAAAACACACAATCTTCTCCTTCCTCTCACACCCCACGATTCGAATTTGGAAATGAAGAATTATTGGGTTTGAAAGGCCATAAAATTAAAAAGAAAATAAGTGAAAGAGATGAAATGGAAATCAAGATTACAGACATTGGGCATTTCCTATTGTGAAAAAAATCGATTTTGAGATTGTTTCATTGTTGGTTTTCTTTAATTTTTTCTTTTTGGAAGCAATTTTGGATCAGAAACTGATTATTATTACAAGAAAATGTGTGTTTAAGAGGATTTATGCAGCGTGAGTGGTTGCTAGATTTGGGGGTTCAAGATTTTGGTTTAGCTTCGATTAGAAGAAAAAAGAGGATGATGGATTGGATTTTTTCTAGTTCAAGATTTGGGATTTGGCAAGGGGAAATTGTCGGAATTGAAAGTATTTGAATCTTGATTATATTGCACCGATGCCTTCCAAGTACCTGTGAGTCCTACAATAAGTGGTCCCACACTTACACTTAAAAATCGTCAATCCCACATTCTTCCTGCAAGTGAAGCATCGGTTGGGCTGCCTCCGGACACTTCCTATAAACCGTCGAGGAAAATGGGTGCGCCACCATGGACGACATCTCCGTAGCCAATGGCGTGAAAATTAAAGGAGAATACCCGGCAACGGTGGAACAAGAAATGGCTTGGAAAATATTTGGATAGCGAATCGATGATTTCACACTCTAACGTCACAACACCACACTACAGTCCTTCCAGTTTATCTCCACTACAAGAAATTCCCTCTATCTTTTACCATTTCCCTCCACCACACTACAAGTTGATTAAGAGATGCCATATTACCAGAGATTGGGAATCTGCTGCAATTGAAAGAGAAGAAACCCCACAAAACTTTTTCTTTTTCTTTTTTATTTTATTGGTTTTTGATCTAAGTTTTTAATATGGGAAAAATATAAAATACTCTTTTGTCCCTTTTTAAAATATTAAAAATGTGGTCAAAGTTAAATTTTTGGTCAACTGATAGAATTATGGATGGAAACCATTCAAAAGGGTTTCACCTACAACGTTTGAAAATGTTAGGGGTGACGATTGTAATAAATTAAAGATTTGAGAAAAGTCTACTATTGTATCAGATGTTTGGAGCCTCAGCTGCAATTATCTCTTATCATCATTCGAAGTGTTAAAATCCTTTGACAATATAACAAGATGAAATGACAGCCTTGTTCTTTAGTCAAGAGTAGGTGGAGTCTCAACCCCAAGTGATGTGACCGTCCACCAAATTCAAATTATTAAAGAGGTATGTACCATTCGATTACAAAATAAAATCATATTTTTAATACATTTTTAGATAAAAATGTATGATTGAAAATATATAAGCTTCCGTTGCACATTTTGAATTCAAGAATGTATTTTTTTTATTTGATGTGATGTGAAATATATAGTTAAAAAAAAAGGAAAAATTATTGTTGTGATAAAAAAATTATTTTATTGAAAAATGTGTGGTTGGAAATTAGTTGAATAATGAAAATTGAAAAAAATAATGTGGCTCAAATAGGAACTAAATTCGGTAAAATATTTGGTTATAAATAATTTTTATATTAGGTTAAATTTTAATCCACCTTTTAAATTGAATCAAACATTTGGCAAGGACGCTCTTTTCCAAACTTCATATTAAAATTAGAATAATCCCGCGATCAATATTTGCTCTTAATATCAAACTTTTAATGATCATACAATTTGTAAGATCCACAATTATTACTCAATTGTCTATTAATATTGTTAAGGCCAACGAGCTACTTGTACAGAATCCTAAAATAGTAATTTCATATTTTAGGATCATGTACAGACTAATGACCAACTAATACGTTGACCTAATTAATAGTTTCATATTTTAGGATTTTGCATAAAAAGCGTGCAACCCCTAATAATACTGATATGGTCTATCACTCATTTTTATCATATTACAATTTTTTTTTTCAAGTGAGTAGTACGTGTGAATAAAATTAAAAATTGAATTAAATTGAAAATTATAAACGACTTCTAATATTTTTCAAATATCCTTTGGGTCCATCTTAATGTGTTTTTGGAGAAAATGTATTTTGGAATAATATATATATTTTTTAAATGCATGATTAAAAGAAGAAAAAGTTTTGAGTTTACGTGTAATATTATTTTATTGGAGAATGTATAATTGAAAAAAAAAAAAAGAGAAATACATTAAAATTTAAATGGAGCTCCAACAAGGGCGTACTTATATCTTACTAATTTGTGTTTAATTAAGTCCATGTTTGGTATTGATTAAAATCAGATTTTTAGTAGATTTTGATGAAATATGTGATCGAAAAATTGAAAGTCCCATAAAATATGTGGTTAAAATTTAATATTGATTTCGATTTCGATTTAAATTAAAATTAAAATTTTAATTCATATCAAACATGAACTAAATATAGCCGTGTTCAAATATACCAAGTTAGTTGTACATGTGTACGTATGAATAAAATTAATGACATACCCAACTTGGTCGCGCGTGCCGTCCGATATATTTTTCATCAAAAGTCGAAAATGCAACCTAATCGCTGACTTTTTGTCCATTACGATGGGCGGAAAACGACGTGAGATTGGTGGTGACCGGGCAGATAATATTGTCTCCCGTCAAATTAACTATTGTATATCCCTCGACCCTCGGGCTGGCCCCCTCGTCTTATTCTTCATTCCTCCTGTTGCTGAATGCCTCCACCACTTCTATTTCTCACGCAACCATATACGATGATCAAGAGTTCAGGAATCCCCCACCAACACCCAAATAATTGACGGAGAAAAGAAACCTAAACTATTCTTACGAGAACACTGTGTGATAATTATATAACATTAAAAAATAATTCATTGAAATGCAAAATTATATGACCATTTAATTGAACCTATAAAATATTGTCACATATACTGGTGCTCAATCTCAGTGAGGATGAATAACATTACTCATTCATCTTACTTACCTATGTTTTCTTTGAAAGTGTCTTCTAAGAACTTGTACAGGGAGAACTTTCTCGTCGCACAATTTAATTCTTTCATATCAGCTTGAGTGTCAACTTTTACTATGTGTATTTGTATTGTCTAAACAATCATGTCATTTTACAATTGAAACTTTGTGGTACATACAGCTTTAATAATTTAAAATCAAGTTTCTCTTCTTTGATGAAAACATATAGTTGATTGGATGACACGTATTTTTTTTGTATATGAAGGTCAGTTGAAGGAGCCGAGGGACGGGTTTGCTAGTGGGACATAATTTTATTTAGAATTTGTGTCAAATTTTTATTAATGTGTCGAGATTTGATGAGGGGACGATCAAGAGAACAAAGAGATATGAACAACTTAAAATGAGTCTAGATGACAGTGAAGTTCACATCTTACCATTGATGACTGAAAAAAAAAGTACAATTGATTTTAGTTTGTAGAGGTTGGACTCTGCTGTCGTTCAAACGAGTTTTGGTAGTGAATTTTCAATACATACAATGTGTGATTCTTGTGAGCTTAAGTGAATTTTCATTGTGACTTATTCAGCAAAATGATGGAGATTGAAAAACCCTATTTCTCACATCATCGAAGCTAGCAAATATCATTGGCATACACAACAATAACGTCCTGAATGTTTATGGACCAGAAGAGAAGTAGAGTGCTTCAAAATAATGCAAAGAGAAAAAATGGGACTTCATATGCAAATATAATTTAGAGAAATCCCTTCTCCCTGCAACATTGAATTGCTTCATCAAATATAGTGATGTCTTTAATTCGTGCTTTTCTTATTGTAAAACAAAATTAAAATAACTAAATAAATATTTTTTCTATAGCTGGTAAAAGTCCTGAATTCAAGTGTAGCAGCAAAATAGAAAAATTGTGCATGTACGAGGCTTCAAATAAAAAAAAAGATGAACCTAACGCTTACATCAAGAGGAGGCTTGAAAAAAAAATTAGACGAGATACTTCTACTCTTCTCACATGAATAAGTAGAGAGCCAGGATAGAAGGTTTTATATTTCACTCTTCATTTCGTATTTGGAATTCCGGGTACCTCATGGAAAGAAATTTAGCTAACTTGTCTACTGTAATCTCAACGGCAGAGCAAATGTACCTCCCTTTGGCATTAGGACACTTGAAAAGAAAGATGTGTGCATTGACCACATCATCTGTATGCACAAAAGCGATAATTTTGGTATACTTCAGCACATGCTTATTTCCTGCACAGATTAAAAGAGATTTAAAAGATATATAGAATAGCAGTCTAGCCGAGAGTTGGAACGCTTTGCTTTTTTAGTACATAGGAGAAACGAAACATTATCATGTGAGTCAAAGAACCAACACGCGTGTAACATGGAGATGTGACTATTATTAATCAAATAATTACAAATGTAACTTGACCGTTGGACGAATATGTAAGCATACATTTTGTGCTTATTAGAGTGATAACAATGATATTTTCGAGTAAAATGTTAAGAATAACTAGGATTTTCAAATGAAAAGAAACCTGATTTGAGTGATTGCAAGCAGTCTCTACATTGGAATACGAGCATGAGGGGCAGAGTGATGCGTGCATGTAGAACACCGTGCATCTATAACTTAATTCAATGTTTAAGTTGAAGAGAGCTTCTTGCAACAAAATGCATAATAGATTCAAAATAAGCTTATATTACACCAAATATACCAATGATCATAGCCAATGATGAACTCGCTGAGCCAGGCAAACTGGAACATATGAAAGGGCCGGTTTTCCAAGTGGGAATTACAGTGAGAAGATCCAACGAATGCTTTTCAGCGAATTCTAGATCTGCCCTTTCTGTTAACATCTTAGCAATGATGTAAGAAGCTGCAAAATCATGATTAACGGACGGGCTCATATAGTCTACATCAGTCCACACGTTCTCGTCCACTAGATCTAAATCCTTGTTGTGATCCACAACTGTTGCTGCACTTAACGTGTAAACAACTCGTTTCACTGTCTTAGAGTCGAGGCATGTCTGCAGAATGCCTAAAGTCCCAGTAATAGATTTGCTGATATTCATTTCTACAGTTTCTTTGTCCATGAGAACGACTGGGTGAGCAACATGAAACACTCCTATGCATCCTTAACTTGATGAGTCGAAACTATCTGGTTTGTCAAGATCTGCTTGGAAAATTCTTTGCCTTTCCATGCACCGGGAAGGCTTGTGATGTAGCTAGTTTTTTGCTTGCTGTCTGCAGGCAGTGCAGCAAAATGCTACAATTTTTAGTACGTGGTGCTTAGATATGTATATTACCAGCATCAACAGATTTGTCAAGTTCATCTTGTTTTCAATAAAGCTGTCTTTTTAGAAAATGTTTGAAATCTTGGTTGACCTACAATCACATGTGTGTGGGATCCGCATGAATAAAAAATGTCAAAGAATGCTCCCCTATTGTGAGCATGCTGTCAAGGAGGGTGTCAAACCCTCCTATTAGTATACCATGATTGTCTTGTTTTACAATCACAATAAAACTTTTCTGATAAGACATTTGGAGAACGTTGATACACAATGCCCCGTTTGGCACCCATTCTTCTTGGTTTTTTCAATTTCATTCTTCAACAGTTGTGGGCCCAACTTGAACAAAAGGACATATTTTGTTTGAAAAAGGACCATTAATGCAGGGAAGGCTGTCAGAAGAGTGTTGGATTTTTTAATTTGTCAAAATTTCCCTTGAATTGATGGTTGGTAGCTTTCACATGTTTGAGTTAAAATGGTGGAGGGTAACGATGTAAAATTTCAATTGACTTTGGGGGTGAAATTGTCCATCACGGCTCAACGGTTGAATCTTCCTGACAAAGAAATCTGAAAAAACACAGCAATTGTCAGGAGACACTGTAGTAAAATGAGAAGTGGAAAAAAAAAATAAAAAATGGGGGCCTTAATTATAAAATCTTCCCATATTTGTTTGTAGTTTCAGAAGCCCAACAATTAGTTTATAAATGTGTACTCGCATCTCCAATCCAACTTCAAAATTGCATTAAAAAGAAATTAGTACTACAACAACATAATATTGAAAATTAAGATTTAAAGTAAACTACAACATAAACTAAGAAAATAATTTAATATTTTGGTAGATTATTTTTAGATCTTTCAAGAAAATCAAAATATTGACGAAAGAGATTATAGATATTTTGAGATCCTGGCCTTGAAGTAATTTTCCGAGTTTCCAATATCGTCTAATGTGTTATCCAATATTAAGATGTTTAATTTTACTAATTTCAAATTTAAGAGATTAAGTTTAAAATTTTAAATTTCAGAGTTTTTTTAAATTTTATTTATAAATAAATAAATTAAACATATATGTTATTAATTAAATATATTAAGGTCACAATTCCATATAATTTGGTCACAAATTCCATATATTTGGTCACAAATCACAATTTTCATCTGTCACAAATTATTTTACGGTTACAATTCAAAATATTTATAGCTCACATTTTGTTCATTGGTCACAAATCAAAAATTTGTACGTCACAATTTATTCATCGATCACAAATCTATCAAATTAATAATCACATATTATTTATTGGTCACAAGTCACAAATCTTTTAAGTCACAAATTTTTTTAAGGTCACAAAACATCAAATTAATTGATCAAAAATTATATTTAGGTCACAATTTATCAAATTATTGGTCACAAATTAGTAATTTTTTAGATCACACAGTATGTATTGATCACAATTTATCTGTTTCATTGATCACATATTATTTATTGGTCATAATCAATCAAATCATTTGTGATACTACTCCCTCAAGTAGCACCAACGCCACCTTCGCCGCCAGAACCACCACCACCGTCGACCATCATTTTCAACTATAAAATTATCACTATCATCGCTAGATCCACCACCACCACCACTAAATCCAAACAAAAATCGCCGCAACCGCTAGATTCACCACCAACGCCGACAACAAAAACCACAGCCTCTACCAGATCAAAACCACCACAACTGCCACCCAAACACACCAAAACCGCCAGCATCCTACACCACTGCCAACACCTTCAGCATCACACTCCTCCACCACCACCACCACATCACATCCCACCATCATCGCCACCACGACCATCACCGCCACCTCCTGCCCAGACCGCCAACTTCACCATCGCAGCCAAAAAATCAAATCCCAAGCCAGACTCAAAAGCAACCTGGATGCCGCACCACAACCACCACTAACTCACTAGACCGCCACATCACACCCACCACCGCTACCAACAAAACAATATCCACCACCATATCCAACACCCCACAAAAGCACCACAAACCACTGTAAAACAACACAAATCACGCACAGGGAATCAAGCCGTTGAAGACAGTAGGATTAAATCCTTCAAGATAAAAGCTCACTCGCTAATTATTTGGTGACATTTATGAGGTAAGCCATTGTTTAGAATCCGAGAAAGTTTCATCTGTGGCCGAACTAAATGCAATATTTGTGAAGAAATTGATTAATTTGGCCATGGACAGAAAAAATAGAGAGAAGGAAATGGCTTCTATTTTGTTGTCATCGTTATGTTTCCCATCGGCCGGCGTATCTCCTTCGTCACCAGTTGTCGGAGTTTGAATGGGTAGGTTGCCAGAGAGAGAGAAGGGAAAGAAATGAAGAGTAAGAAGATGATGATGAAGAGAAATGAAGAGAGAGAAGTGAGACAAATGAAATAAAATTAGGGTTTGGGTGGGTATAATATTTAATTATTAATTCAATATCTAATTTTTAAAAAGTGAAACTTTATATCTGAAATTTGAAACTGAATCTTGAAAACTCTTGTTTTGTGTAATTTCCACGACAAATATTTGGTCTATAGCCTTTAATTTATTTTCTCAAATAAATGGATGATCTCGAGTTAATTGTCCCAATGGTCATTGAACTTATGTCCATATCTTCGATTGCTCACTGAAATTTAAAATGTCGAGTTTTTGCCACTAAATTTATCTAAAAGTTGGACGTTACTCACTAGCACAACTTCCGTTTCAATATGTTAAAGGAATTAGTGACATGGCTAATAAATGCACATGTGGCGTCTCGTCACGTCGTTAACAAATTACCACATTTTTTATTGCTCACTAAATTTTGAAAAAGGTCTTAGATTGCTCACTGAAATTTGACGTGGTTGAATTTTGGTCACTAAACTTATAAAAATGACGTCGACATTTTGTTCGTTAAAAAATGTGTACGGCAAGTACACGAATTACGTAAAAGTAATTTTGTAGACAAACAAATCCGGGTTGTCAGTTTCACGAGAAATGATTATTCAATTACTCAAATTTAATTTTAACATAATGTTGTAGAATTTTAAGTTATTTTTATCATTTGAAAAATTCAAATTTATTGTATGTTCCATTTTTAAAATTAAATTAAAATTTGAATTTTGCAACAAAAATATACTAAAAATTTAATTAAATGGATTTTGTGTTTCGTTACAAAAATTCAAATTTTAATTAAATTTATTGTATGTTTTGTTGCAAATCCAATTTTTATTTTAATTTAATTTTAACAACGAAACACACAATAAATTTGAATTTTTCAAATGATGAAAATAGCTTAAAATTCTACAACATTAATTTAAAATTAAATTTAACTATTGTGTAATTGAATAATCATTTCTCGTGGGATTGATGACTTGGACTCGTTTGTCTACATTATTACTTTTACACAATTCGTGCGCTTGATGTACACATTTTTTAACGAGTAACATGTCGACATCATTTTTATAAATTTAGTTATCAAAATTTGACCATCTCAAATTTCAGTGAGTAAGTTAAGACATTTTTCAAATTTTAGAGAGCAATCGAAAATATTTTTCAAAATTTAGTGAACAATCGAAGATGCGTTAATTTATTAATAGCGTAATATGACGCTACATGTGCATTCTATTGCCCACATCACTAATTCCATTAACGATTTGAAAAAGAGTCCCTGTTTTCGCTTATCGTAAAAGAGTTTCACAAGTAAATCATATTGAGCCAGTTTACCTTGAAAGCTTTTTTAATTAAATATAATAATTTTAAAAAAATTATCCAAACATTTTCCTACTCATTAATATGAAAGCCTTGCCAAAATAGTGACTAACTTGAAACTTAGAGTCAAAGTTGGGTAAACCTGTAAGTAATTGCAGTTTATTAAATCCCAAAGCCATCCAATTTCCCTTCTCCCCCTTTTCTCCCCCTCTGGATTTTGCTCATGGATTTCACGCCATGCTCGTACCCTTCTAACTGGAATCCATAAACCCTAACCACTTTACTCAGTTAACTAAAAGCACCAAAATACGTTGTATTCCTGAAAATTACAACTGAAAAAATTCCCCCTTCCCCCTTTTATTTTTTGCTTGTAGGAGTTTAGTTATTATTTGGCGACATTATTATTATGTATAGATCTGGGGCGGTGATGGCATGGAATGTATTCAAATTCTGTACGGCCTTGAGGAGCTTCGGTTCGATCATGATATTATTAGTCCTCGGCGTCGTAGGGGTGACGTATTACGCCGTTGTAATAACCAATTACGGTCCGGAGATCGCTGCCGGAGGGCTTGATTCGCTTATCGCTTTTCTCGTCCTGATCTTGTTCCACTGCCTGGTAAGAACTGCTTAATTTCATCGGCAGTTGTGGAATTTCGTATTTGTGATGTATTGGTTCGTTTGATGGATTTTGATGGTTTTGACTGTGGAAAATACAGTTGTTATTTTGGTCATTTTGAGCTGATGTGTAGTTGAGTGTTTGGTTACTTAAAAGTTAACGTGGCTAGTATAACATCTAGATTAGCTGGAGAGTAGCCTAAAGCTGAGGCGTGGTTTTTTATAGTATATGGAAATTCAGCTGTTTTTGTTTGTTTTCAAGATAAAGTTTCTGGAGTATGCTAAATTTTGGAAACTAAATTAAAATTGATCATCTAATTTAGCTGAAATTTGGACAATTTTAAACTTTCTCCATTTGGATATTAATTGATGTGATGGACAATCAATTTCTGGATTAAGAAATTTACTGCTTTAATTGTTATTAAGGGTCACAATTTGATCGTTCTA